TTTTCCAAACTGCATGGCTGCCAAGTCTGAGGTGGAGATTTCTTTTCTTTTTCACCGCTGACGTGGAGTTTTTGCTGACATGGAGTTTATTAAAATATATATATTTAGAAGAATTTAATTCATTGTCTTTTATTTGCTAAAAAAAATACTAAATTCAAAAATAATTTTTTTTTTCTTTTTTATTTATACCCTTCAACTTATTTTAAAATTAAAAATTACACAAAAAAATACGTAGCGTTGCAGTGCACAAGACATACGTAGCGTTGCAGTGGGCCCACTAAGTGTCGAATTTAGATTTCAAATTTTGATCTGAATCTTAGACATGAATCATTATATTTCTTCTTTAATATGTGAGCCGAGCCTTTATTTGTGTGTGTTTTTCAATATATCACATCACGCTTAATTATTTATTATTATATTATTATTTTAGCATCACAATGTAAACATTGGGATAATAGTTGAAGATAAGTACGAGCCAAATTAGCGTTCCACTCGTCCAAGATTATCAATAAGGCAAGAGTTGACCTAAGAATAAGCTCTCCGTCTTTATGTCAGACACATGTCTAAACGATAGAATAAAAATTAATGAATAAAGTGAAAAGTGAAAATTTTAAATTATTTTGATATTGATAAAAAATTAATGAAACTAATTTAATTCTCTTGAATTAATCAATAAAAAATGGAACCTGAAAATAAATATTAGGTTAAATTAATAAAAATGTGCTTAAACTTTACACTTGGTCTCTAAAATATGTCTAAACTTCGATAATATCTTTGAATTTTTTTAAAAAAAAATAATAAATATTGTTACAATTAATTTTGAGGTTTCAAAAATATGCTTATAACTTTTAAAATGGTTTAAAAATATCATTTAACTAAAAGAAATAGTTTTCAAAATTTCAATTAATAACTTAAAAAAAAAATTAAAAAATAATATTAAAAAAATTTAATAGTATTGATAAAACTTTCCAGTAAAGTAAAACAACCTTTAAAATATTTTTAAAATATTTATTTATTAGATGATCGAAGAATCTAATAATTAAAAATAATATTAACTAACATTCTTCAATGGTACAATGTTTATAAAAATAAATAAATATAAGTGTAGCAATCAATTGATATTTATTGGACAGATTATTTATTTTTAATTCGACATTTAATCAATGGAAGAAAACTTATATGGAATAATTTAAAAGGATCTTCTCTTTTCCACCACAAAAAAAAAAAAAAAAAAAAAAAAAAAAAAAAAAAAAAAAAAAAAAAAAAAAAAAAAAAAAAAAAAAAAAAAAAAAAAAAAAAA